CGGTAATAAAGGAAGCCAATAAGTTTAAAAAGGAGATTTAAATGAGTGACGAAATACAAATAAAGTATAATATAGCGACTGAAGCTGCAAAATACGTAAAAAAGAAAGCAAAAACAAATGAAATTGACCAGATACAGAAACGATGGCAAGATGAAACTCTGCAAAGCCAATACTCTGCCCGTACCAAACAAGCTAATGTAGACAAACCCGGTATCCATCATTGGCTTTGTAGTGCAGGGTTAAAAGCTGAAACCAAAAGTTTTATACTTACTGCACAGGGCCAATGCTTGTTAACTAGAAATTACCAAGCACACATACTAAAAATTGCTCAAAATGCAGATTCTGTGATAAATGTCCAGAAACAATTGACGATTTTGTATCATGTTGCAAGGTATTGCGACCCACTGAATATAAAACCCGGCATGACAGAGTGGGACAATATCTGCATTGGGAAATCTGCAACTTGTACGGAAAGGAAATTGAACGAAAATGGTATGAACATCACCAAGACCCGGTTATGGAGGTATCTAGCCACCCCCCATGAGGGTTGCATGTGGCACAAGGACGAGTTTATCGTGGGTTTCCCGACGCCAAAAAATGCCCGTATAACCCGTATAAACGAAATCGGGTTGGTCATTCTCCTCGAACGAGAACCTCATCCAGGTTCCTTTCTGCTCAAAAGCAGAGAGTTCGACCGTCAAGTCAAGTCGAGAAGCTCGGCTTGATTCGGTTATGGAGGTAGGGCCTGTTAAAGATTTTATGGGATTTCACAATACACACAAAAGAATAATCAAAACTAATCGCACAGACATCGTTATTATGCAAAAAAATATATATATATATATATATATATATATATATATATATATATATATATATATATATATATATATATATATATATATATATCTTCTTCAGAAATCTTTCAAAATACAAAAGACTTTGAAATCGAAACTCAAAAGTGTGGCCCATGGAAATATCAGCATTTTTTGTAGTTGGAGCCCTCGGATTGCTTGAAATGATTCAAAGGGTTTTTGGTAACTTATTGAAGGGTTTTTGGTGCCCATGCCTTTAAAGAAATATAAAAGAGTGTTCTCACTAGTACAGCGCACACCTTACGAAAGGTTTTGTCTATGTAAAATATGTGCTTCTTTTTTGAAAAATTGAATTGCTCCGTAGAAAATGTCAGAATGCCATTTTTAACCTTAGATCTCTGGTCGGGATTTGAAAAGCAATGAGTACCCACTAGGAATCATAGGAAATGAAATAATAATAGTATCATTTGAGTATGGAATTTGGGTACGTATAAGTGAACATCTGGGATAAAATTATCGTATGTGAGGCCTTAAACATTTGATATAAGACACAGCGTTTTTATTTAGGTATATTCTTGGAAAGAATGCGTTTTACATAAAATCGAATACTGTAATTATGTTCTCAATTACCGACTAAAATCTGGGTATAATTAAATAGTGACCTTAATAAGTATATTAAACTTCTAAAACATCCAAAAAACGCACAAAATTTCTGATTTTCTATTCCTACTTTTGGGGATATACAGGTAATTATATTAGGTTTACATAAATATTTCCAATTAATGATTAATTTTTTAATATCGAATGGAAAATTGTTTGCTTTTTTGCTTGTTCATTTATTTTTTCCAATTCAGTGCTATTCTTTTTTAACTCGTTCCCATTTTTTGTGTCTTCCTTTATTTGCTGCTTTGTATTAATTATTGTTTCTTTTACTGTCCGAGGTTTCGTTAAACATAACAGGACAGATATAGAATATTGTAACTCATCAAAGATTAGTCCTTAAGCTTTAAAATAAAAAGGTTTTGGTAAATATTTCAAAAACAAAGTATTACAAGGTGTATGTCACTGTCTAGATCAATAAGTTTTAATTTAAAAGTTTCTTGGCAATGGAAAAGAGAAAGAAAATCCACAGAGATGTTTCATTTCTTTTTCGAGTTTGTATTCTGTAGATTTTAAGTTAATTTCTACAGGTTTTGCCGCCATTCCTTTAGCTTGATAATGAATCATAATATATAAATTTGTGGTCTTCTTTAATATTGCATATAACGAATTTCCTTGAGCACTTCGACGTGATGTAATGGCTACCAAGCTAGGGACTTCGATCCCCACCGGGTGATGAGCACTTTCTGTTTTCTGCTCCATCTAAGCTAAGCTTGGAAAATCAATGCGGGTTTGTTTCGGTGTGGGAACCAAAATGGGCACATCTATATAATGTATGGCAAGCAAGCTTGTCTTGCTAGATCAATTACAACTGAATTTTTAAGTTCAATCTCCACTTAATGCTACACGCTTTCGGCTTTGTGCCACATCTAAGCTACACTTAGAAAATTGTTTTCCGGTGTGGGCAAAAATGGGTGCTTATTGTGTAGTGAAGCAAGATCAAACGAAATAGCAACTTTCGATCTTTACTCGGTGATCGACACTTCAGCCTTGTGCAACATCTCACCTATGCTTAGAAATGCTTTTATTGGGAACTTCGACGTGGTGTAATTGTTTGCAAACTTGTCTCAGTAGAAGACTGATAATAGAATAATGAGTTGGATTATTACTGGACGCCCTATATTTTTGGCCTTGTGCAATATGTAAGCTACAATATAGCGAGTTTAATCTCGTTATATCTATTGTTTATCGCGAGAATATCTCGTATCGTAACATGTTTTTTAAAGCAGCACTTATTCTTTTACATTTTTTCTGCCAATTTTTTATATTTGTTTGCTTAAATTTGGCAAACAAACTATTAACTCTTTTCCCTGTGTCTTTTATCTTTAAATATTATTCTCGCTACAAAAGTCTGAGGAAGGCCGTGAACCGGACGTTAGACGAAACTATCTTTTTAAAGAAAAATAAATAATATTAAAAAAATTTCAGAGCTTAGGCGGAGACTTTAGAAGTATCGAGTTGGAATTTAGATCAGGATAAAAGGAGATTATATTCAAAAAGATCGCAGAGGAATATCAGGTTAAGAGATATATTTGCATAATATATTTGACAAATAATATTGTATAAAGAATAATGAATGAAATAGGATTTGTAGATTTTCTATATTTACCTCAAATGCTAATTTTAAGAAAACAATGAATTTTCCCATAAGTGCAAAATATTGTCAGCAGACATTGCCTGTGATTCTATGATATTAGGTGTTAATTTATGTTTTGCAAAAACGAAACCTAATAATGCCATATGTAATTAGCCTTAAAGATTTCCCATGTGCTTCTACGAGGACATTCAGTGCGTTTCTACATTTTCTTTAGAACTCAGTAAACACTAAACAGCTAAAAGCAAGTTTCCATCAAAGAAAAGCAACTATTTACATAAGCAGAAAAAGATTAAAAGAATATTGTCTTTCTTCTAATATGGAATGGTTTCAGTTTCTTTTAATAGATCTATTGCATGTTAGAAGAAAAATAGAAGGTTTAAGACAAGATATTTATTTGGAAGTAGTCATTTCCCAAGCGTAGCTTGGACGTGGCACAACGCTGAAAGGGAGGGACACCCGGTGAGGATGGAAGTCACTATTCAGTCATAATTTTTCTAACGAGACAAGCTTGCTAACCATTACACCACCTCGAGGTGCCCTATTTTTTTCAGTCGCGGCTTGACATCGACCAGTTCAAAACTTAGATATTTTAAACTGCTAACGCTGTCTGGCACAAGACCAAATTAGTGAGGCATCAGGCGAACATCGATCTTAGAAAACTGGAGAAGCTGATTGTGCCAAATGATGTTGATAACTGATCTTGATAGCGATTAACGTAAAGTTGGAAAAAGACTGACTGATCTATTTTCTACAACTTTTGTTACAGGCTTTTTAAAAACAGAAAAAGTTATGGATCACAATACTGTTTTTGTTTTTAAAGATAATAATGATATATTGGTAAAAGTCTTATTACTTAACCCACAGCTGGGTGTAGAAGAGGTGGATTCATACTTTTCACAGAGGTATTAGCGCGTAAGGATATAAAGAAACCGGTGAGAATTGAAACTCGGCTCTCTGACTAAAAATTGCGAGTCATTATCCATTACATCACCTACACATCCAAGATTACAGCGACTGTTATTCTCAAGCGGTTACCAATCTAGGTACTGAACAGGCTCGACATTGTTTAACTTCTATTTCTCATTCCGAGCAGTTATCTATTACAACACCCGCACATCCAAGCCTGGTTTTTTCAAACGGTCTCCCATCTCGATACCGACGTTGCTTAACTCTTATTTCTCATTCCGAGACGTTATCCATTAGATCAGCTGCAAATCCAAGCTTACAGCGTCTGGTATTCTCAAGCGGTCATCCGGCTAGGTACTGACAAAGCTCGACGTTGCTTAACTTCTGTTTCTCAATCTGAGCCGTTATCCATTACATCACCTGCACGTCCACACTTACAGCGCCTGGTATTCCCAAGTGCTCACCCATCTAGGTACTGACAAAGCTCGACGTTGCTTAACTTCTATTTCTCATGCTGACCCGTTATCCATTACATCACCTGCACGTCCAAGCTTACAGCGCCTGGTATTCCAAAGCGGTCACCCATCTAAGTACTGACAAAGCTCGACGTTGCTTAACTTCTATTTCTCATGCTGACCCGTTATCCATTACATCATCTGCACACCCAAGCTTACAGCGCCTGGTATTCCAAGCGGTCACCCATCTAGGTACTGACAAAGCTCGACGTTGCTTAACTTCTATATCTCATGCTGACCCGTTATCCATTACATCACCTGCACACCCAAGCTTACAGCGCCTGGTATTCCCAAGCGGTCACCCATCTAGGTACTGACAAAGCTCGACGTTGCTTAACTTCTATTTCTCATGCTGACCCGTTATCCATTACATCACCTGCACACCCAAGCTTACAGCGCCTGGTATTCCCAAGCGGTCACCCATCTAGGTACTGACAAAGCTCGACGTTGCTTAACTTCTATTTCTCATGCTGACCCGTTATCCATTACACCAACCGCACATCCAAGCCTACAGCACGTGGTATTCACTAGCGGTCACCCATCTAGGTACTGACCAGGCTCGGCTTTGCTTAGTTTCTGTGAGCGTACGGGAACCGGTATTTCAACGTATTGTGGCCATAAGTTTTAATAAAGCTGAGAAGAATCTTGTTTGTTGCTCATTCTCTTCATCACGTCTAGATTACATCGTCTGTTGAAGTTCTTTATGTCACTGCATCGAATACAAAGTCGTTACTGTTACATTAATCTTTATTATTCTATGGTTCCTGATTATTAAAAAAAAAGAAGGATCTACATAATAATGTTAATGCAATGACAGATGAGTGTGAAAACTGTCCAACATTCATTATCATATAAAAAGATTAATATTATATAAGAGTTGTGTTCCCTTTTTGTCTATATAACAAAACTTTCCTGTCACTTACTATTTCGTTTAGCTTTTGTGAGGAATCGTTTGTGCTTTCAGGCTTTAGCGTCAGATTTCCGGCCTCTGCTAAAAGACTTCCCAGATATCCCTACACTAGTTTGATGTAAGTCAATCTATTCGTCTACCAATCTTGCTTTAAATATTTCCTCTGAGTGTCAGTTTCTCTAAGCTCTCTTTCCACATCATGTTCTCTTTCCGTCCTCGGTATTTTCAGCGTCCTTCTTTAGATTTAGCACAAGTCTCATCTTCATTCAAGGAAATTCACTGCCATATCTATCTTCTCTTCTTTGAGCCGTGTCCTTTCAATACATAGACGATAATGTCTGTCTAGGATTTCCTCTCCCTTGTAGCTCTAAATAAATTTTATCTTGTTATTTCTTTCTTGTTCCGCCATCCATCTACTCAATTTAATTATGTAGGTTATGCGTTATTTTTCTCTATCCTTCTTGCTCTCAATCTGACTTGTAAGCTTCAGATTTTCCAAGCACACTTTTCTCTATATGTACTCTAGAAATTCCATCTGTCTCTTTTGATAATTATAAGATTCCTTTTTCTACCATTTTCTCTAAAACTCGGTATTTGTTCGCATGTTCGTTCCATAGTATCCAAAGCATCCTTCTGTGGAACCAGGTTTCTGTTATTCAAGCCTCGTTTTCATCTGTGAGGAGATTGTGTAGCATTCACTGTTAAATATGAGAACCAATATCAGAAAACAGTTCAGTATTCTTTTCTTTGTTTCTAACGTTTTTTCTGTATCTTATTACTCTGCTTAGCATCTTTGGGGCGTCTTTTAGGCTATCCTAATGCAACTTGGGATATCATTGTCATACTTTCCGTCTTCTGTTAAAATACTTCTGAGATATTTACATTTTTGTACTTGTTTGATTTTCGTACTCCAATTTGTAATTTACATGTTCGACCCAATTTGTAATTTGCATTTTCTAACAAACTTTGATTTCATCTTCTTGCAATTGATGTTTAGTCCTTCCTTCTCGTTTTTGTAACAGTTTTTATTTCCGTTCATACAATCAACACATTGTCATCTGCATATCTCAAGTTGGTAAAATTGTGGCCGCCAATAATGAATTCAGATCCGATTTCTAATTCTTTCAGAATCGTCTCACTGTATAGATTGAATAAACCGGAGAGATCCTTGTCACAGATTTAACACATTTTGTATGTGTATGCAGGTAGTTTAATGGCAGTATAGGTCCTTGATTCTTCTATCTTTCTCAGATGCGCCAACGTTACTAAGCCGTTCCAACAGGTCTTTGTAGTGCACTATATCAAACATTTTAGCATAATCTATAAAACACAAGTACACGTCCTTCTGCTTTTGTACTGTTCTCTCTGATATCATTCTGAGCATAAATATTGCGTTTCTTGTTCCAGTGTCTTTCAAAAACCCGTGGTTCTTGTCACAGCATTTCAACACTCTTCCTTCTGTATCTAAAAACATTTTTTTCTCGTCTGTTAATACTTTTTTTTAGTATTTTGGAGAATTTTTTCGCTATTCCAATTCACCTTCGGATTTCAATGCCATAATTTCCGGCGACAGTTTTAGTGTCGAAATTTCTGTCGTCAACTTTAGAATTTTTTTTTCTTAACCGTTATCACCCCATACACAGCAGTAAAGCCACTAAGACACAAGGGGTTACAGGGTGTGGAGGAATTAGGAAGAGAAACGTTAATAATGAGCGGGAAGAGAAAAGAGAAATCAGGAGAACAGTAGATAGCGATCGACATTGCTTTTTAATATATGACTTAACTTGAACTCCTATATTGTAATTTTAACATGTGATGTTTTTATTGCTATTTACTTGGTTTTAACGATTTTTTAAAGATTCCTACGACACGTAAGAACGTTTAAAGCATCGTTTAAGTCCGCGACCTTCCGCGACCTTCCACCATTTTCGTCACCATTCGTTTTCCCATCATAAAGTTACCGGTATTTGTTTGGTTGCTGACTGTTTTTCGAAGACCACAACACATCTATGGCAATAGTTACATCATGTCGTATCGCAAGCGAGAGATAAGCCGTTGCAGCTACAGGTTTTCAGCACATATTTTCTCAGAAAAATTTTCGCTGCTCGATACAACCAAAAATCGACAAGTCTTTAGCATTTGTTTAACAATACAGCTCCTATTCAAACGCAGTAAAGGCAGGCATGCGAATAGAAAAGCTTGTTATTGTAGATATTATATAAACGTACAAGACTGTTAGAGATTGAAGCTGAAATCATACCTAGTGACATTTCCCGCTGGTCAGTATAATAAGAAGCGATATAACTGAATCAGCTGTAAGATGGATGAAGGGCCATTGTTCGTGTCACATTCATTCAGATTAGAAGTGATTTCTGGTTCTCGTTTTGTGTTGCAAAGGATATTCATAAATAATGAGTGTCTTTATTTGTCGAACAAATAAGGAATATTTCATAAAAAAAGGTATAAATTTCATAAAAAAGCATAAATTTCATAAAAAGGTATAAATTTCATAAAAAAGGCAAAAATTTCATAAAAAATACATAGAATATGAATTAAGAACAACTCGCAAATACTTTAGATTAACGTATGTAAAATAAGCCTATATGCAATATCAAAGATAATTCCATTTCTCTACGATAATACAAGTCCCGAGAGCCACTCAATGTAGACGATATTCAGTGCCCATTGAACCCATATAAACGGGTTCTGGGCCGGTTCACCTCCCCGAAAGAGACTCCGCCCTTCGGTGTAGCCTCCTTCGGGTTCCTCCTGTCCGTAGGAAGAGAGTTCAACCGAACAGTCGCTCAGAAAGTACTGAGTCGACTGACAGTTACTGAAAGATATGGTTTTATGTACGCAACAATTATATATTATTTGATAATATAGGATAGATATCTAGAATTGAAGAAGTTAAGATTGTGGTGATTGGGGAAGCATTCTCTTGGGAACGTGTACTACAAAGCAGTGACTCATTACAAGAAGCTGTTCGGATGGAACTCCCTTTTAAGTAATGGAATACAAGGAGTATGTTTTGCCCCTGTGTACATTGAATGGCGAGTCTTAGATCCAAACAGCTAAACTATTGTAACCAAGGAATGTAGTTCGATAGAACATTCGCCATGGAAATAGCGATGGAATATCAATATGAAAGTTACACGTTGGAGTAAAATCGATCGTCTACAAGAAAGCGGTTTTGAACTCTGTCAATGCTCGAAAAAAGGAATGGGTAGCCCCATCCGATATATGGCAGCAACTCTACATTTTTGGTCTGATACGATTCTTGTAACGAGAGATCATGGAAAGTGGAGTCAAGTACCTCCTGGGGTGGCATGAGGTGTGATGGATCGTATATTTGAGCTGCCCATGAGATTTGCTGCGAACATGAGCCTCAACCGACAAGGACATAGTTTGAGAAGAAGAGCCTTCATTATCATTCATGATAATTGTTGGGGCGCACCCACCTTCTAACTAGTAATGGACTGGTCCCTCTTATATAAGTCAGCTCTGGAGAGAGAGAGTGACAGAGCGTCAGAGAGAGAGAGAGTCAGCGTGAGCAGTCCAGATAAGCTTACCCGGTACATACCGTTGGACTATAGACTTTGGATATTGTTTCGTACTAACCAACCTTCGTTCTACTAATCACTCTATTGTTAATTGCTTTTATGAATATACCAGTATTTCCCTCTACAACTGTGTTTGTCTTGATTCATACACCGACACGCGGGAAACTCACAACATCTCAACAATAATTTAGGAGGTTATTTCGTTGATGGTTGCTCTTGTAATTTTGTATACTTCTTTATGAAGTCAGGTATCCTCTGCTGCAATCATTTTCTTCTTCTTCATGGTCTTATATGTACTGTATCCTTTCAAAACCTGGGCGAACAGTGCTCTCCACAACATCCTATCCATCTTGCTATAATGGCAGTTAATCAGAGGACGGTAGCGGAATTGTTGGGTGAAACTTTCTCTTGTGAAGTTCGAAAGAGACATTTTGGTTGTCCGCAAAATGTTGGACGACTCCTTCTCTGGGACATGCCAATTCTAACCGACAGGGAAATAAAAGCAAACAGAAGTGATATTGTCAGAAAAGAAAAAAAATTCAGGAACTGTATTCTTATTGATTTAACAGTGCCATCTGAGAGAAAAGCCTTCATGCAAATTACTGGGAAATTGTCCAAATAGAAGGACCTGAAGATCGTGATTAACAGTGAGTAATGAAGACTGAGATTGTACCAATAATGAACAAATTCTGAGCCTTGTGAAAAATGAATGGACAATGTTACTAACCGTACCCCATGTAACATCAACATACAAGTTGCTCAGAAGATCGTCCTATTAAGAACATTCAATATATTAAGAAAACTGCTATAAGTTAAATGACAAATCTCGTATAGGGCATAAGGGGCATAGTTTTGGATTCGGCTCTACAGGATACAACGCAGTAAACATACCATACACAAATAATAATAATAATAATAATAATAATAATAATAATAATGTCAAAGCTAACTGCCCAGACATTGTCATTAGAGACTGCAATGTATCTTTGAATATCTTCAAAAAACTATCAAAGGACCTTGAAATCGAAATCTCAAAAATGTGGCATATGGGAACATTAACAATCCCCGTTGTAGTTGGAGCCGTTGGATTGGTAGGAAAGGATTCCAATAGACTAATTGAAGGGATCCCTGGAAGCCCATGCCT